CCCGCCCCATTCTCCTGCTTTCCATCACTCCGCCCCATTCTCCCTCCTTCTATCACCCCGCCCCATTCTCCCTCCTTCCATCACCCCGCCCCATTCTCCCGCTTTCCATCACCCCGCCCCATTCTCCTGCTTCCCATAACCCCACCCCATTCTCCCGCTTTCCATTACCCCGCCACATTCTCCCGCTTTCTATCACCCCGCCCCATTCTCCCTCCTTCCATCGCCCCGCCCCATTCTCCCGCTTTCCATCACCCGCCCCATTCTACCGCTTTCCATCATCCCGCCCCATTCTCCCTCCTTCCATCACCCCGCCCCATTCTCCCGCTTTCCATCACTTCCGCCCCATTCTCCCTCCTTCCATCACCCCGCCCCATTCTCCCTCCTTCCATCACCCCGCCCCATTCTCCCGCTTTCCATCACCCCGCCCCATTCTCCCGCTTCCCATAACCCCACCCTATTCTCCCGCTTTCCATCACCCCGCCACATTCTCCCACTTTCCATCACCCCGCCCCCTTCTCTCTCCCTCCATCACCCCGCCCAATTCTCCCTCCTTCCATCACCCCGCCCCATTCTCCCGCTTTCCATCAGCCCGCCCCATTCTCCCGCTTTCCATCACCCCTCCCCTTTCTCCCACTTTCCATCTCCCCGCCCCATTCTCCCGCTTTCCATCATCCCGCCCCATTCTCCCGCTTTCCATCACCCCGCCCCATTCTTCCGCTTCCCATCATCCCGCCCCATTCCCCCGCTTTCCATCACCCCTCCCCATTCTCCCTCCTTCCATCACCCTGCCCCATTCTCTCGCTTTCCATCACCCCGCCCCATTCTCCCGCTTTCCATCACCCCGCCCCATTCTCCCGCTTTCCATCACCCCAGCCCACTCTTCCTCCTTCCATCACCCCGCCCCATTCTCCCGCTTTCCATCACCCCGCCCTATTCTCCATCCTTCCATCACCCCGCCCCATTCTCCCTCATTCCATCACCCCGCCCCATTCTCCCGCTTTCCATCACCCCGCCCCATTCTCCCTCCTTCCATCACCCCGCCCCATTCTCCCTCATTCCATCACCCCGCCCCATTCTCCCGTTTTCCATCATCCCGCCCCATTCTCCCTCCTTCCATCATCCCGCCCCATTCTCCCGCTTTCCATCACTCCGCCCCATTCTCCCTCCTTCCATCACCCCGTCCCATTCTCCCTCCTTCCAGCACCCCGCCCCATTCTCCCGCTTTCCATCACCCCGCCCCATTCTCCTGCTTTCCATCACCCCGTCCCATTCTCCCTCCTTCCATCACCCCGCCCCATTCTCCCTCCTTCCATCACCCCGCCCCATTCTCCCGCTTTCCATCAGCCCGCCCCATTCTCCCGCTTCCCATAACCCCACCCCCTTCTCCCGCTTTCCATCACCCCGCCACATTCTCCCGCTTTCTATCACCCCGCCTAATTCTCCCTCCTTCCATCACCCCGCCCCATTCTCCCGCTTTCCATCACCCCGCCCCATTCTACCGCTTTCCATCATCCTGCCCCATTCTCCCTCCTTCCATCACCCCGCCCCATTCTCCCGCTTTCCATCACCCCGCCACATTTTCCCACTTTCCATCACCCCGCTCCATTCTCCCTCCTTCCATCACCCCGCCCCATTCTCCTGCTTTCCATCAGCCCGCCCCATTCTCCCGCTTTCCATCACCCCGCCCCCTTCTCCCGCTTTCCATCTCCCCGCCCCATTCTCCCGCTTTCCATCACCCCGCTCCATTCTCCCGCTTTCCATCACCCCGCCCCATTCTTCCGCTTCCCATCATCCCGCCCCTTTTCCCCGCTTTCCATCACCCCTCCCCATTCTCCCTCCTTCCATCACCCCGCCCCATTCTTCCGCTTTCCATCACACCGCCTCAATCTTCCGCTTTCCATCAACCCGCCCCATTCTCCCGCTTTCCATCACCCTACCCCATTCACCCGCTTTCCATCACCTCGCCCCATTCTCCCGCTTTCCATCACCCCGCCTCAATCTTCTGCTTTCCATCACCCCGCCCCATTCTCCCGCTTTCGATCACCCTGCCCCATTCACCCGCTTTCCATCACCCGCCCCATTCTCCCGCTTTCCATCACCCCGCCCTATTCTCCCGCTTTCCATCACCCCGCCTCATTCTCCCGCTTTCCATCACCCCGCCCCATTCTCCCTCCTTCCATCACCCAGCCCCATTCTCCTGCTTTCCATCACCCCGCCCCATTCTCCCTCCTTCCATCACCCCGCCCCATTATCCCTCCTTCCATCACCCCGCCCCATTCTCCCGCTTTCCATCACCCCGCCCCATTATCCCTCCTATCATCCCCCCGCCCCATTATCCCGCTTTCCATCACCCGCCCCATTCTCCCGCTTTCCATCACTCCGCCCCATTCTCCCGCTTTCCATCACCCCGACCCATTCTCCCACTTTCCATCACCCCGCCCCATTCTCCCTCCTTCCATCACCCCGCCTCATTCTCCCTCCGTCCATCACCCCGCCCCATTCTCCCGCTTTCCATCACCCCGCCCCATTCTCCCGCTTTTCATCACCCCGCCCCATTCTCCCGCTTTCCATCACCCCGCCCCATTCTCTCGCCTTCCATCACCCCGCCCCATTCTCCCGCTTTCCATCACCCCGCCCCATTCTCCCGCTTTCTATCACCACGCCCCCTTCTCCCTCCTTTCATCACCCCGCCCCATTCTCCCGCTTTCCATCACCCCGCCCCATTCTCCCGCTTTCCATCACCCCGCCCCGTTCTCCCGCTTTCCATCACCCCGCCTCATTCTCCCGCTTTCCATCACCCCGCCCCATTCTCCCTCCTTCCATCACCCCGCCCCATTCTCCTGCTTTCCATCACCCCGCCCCATTCTCCCTCCTTCCATCACCCCGCCCCATTCTCCCTCCTTCCATCACCCCGCCCCATTCTCCCGCTTTCCATCACCCCGCCCCATTCTCCCGCTTCCCATAACCCCACCTCATTCTCCCGCTTTCCATCACCCCGCCCCAATCTCCCGATTTCCATCACCCCGCCCCATTCTCCCGCTTTCCATCACCTCCGCCCCATTCTCCCGCTTTCCATCACCCTGCCCCATTCTCCCGCTTTCCATCATCCCGCCCCATTCTCCCTCCTTCCATCACCCCGCCCCATTCTCCCGCTTTCCATCACCCTGCCCCATTCACTCGCTTTCCATCACCCGCCCCATTCTCCCTCTTTCCATCACCCCGCCCCATTCTCCCGCTTTCCATCACCCCACCCCATTCTCCCGCTTTCCATCCCCCCGCCCCATTCTCCCGCTTTCCATCACCCCGCCCCATTCTCCCGCTTTCCATCACTCCGCCCCATTCTCCCTCTTTCCATCACCCCGACCCATTCTTCCCACTTTCCATCACCCCCGCCCCATTCTCCCTCCTTCCATCACCCCACCCCATTCTCCTGCTTTCCATCACCCCGCCCCACTCTCCTGCTTCCCATAACCCCACCCCATTCTCCCGCTTTCCATCACCCCGCCACATTCTCCCACTTTCCATCACCCCGCCCCCCTCCTTCCATCACCCCGCCCCATTCTCCCTCCTTCCATCACCCCGCCCCATTCTCCCGCTTTCCATCAGCCCGCCCCATTCTCCCGCTTTCCATCACCCCGCCCCATTCTTCCGCTTCCCATCATCCCGCCCCATTCCCCCGCTTTCCATCACCCCTCCCCATTCTCCATCCTTCCATCACCCCGCCCCATTCTCCCCCTTTCCATCACCCGCCCCATTCTCCCGCTTTCCATCACCTCGCCCCATTCTCCCGCTTTCCATCACCCCGCCCCTTTCTCCCGCTTTCCATCATCCCGCCCCATTCTCCCTCCTTCCATCACCCTGCCCCATTCTCCCGCATTCCATCACTCCGCCCCATTCTCCCTCCTTCCATCACCCCGCCCCATTCTCCCTCCTTCCATCACCCCACCCCATTCTCCCACTTTCCATCACCCCGCCCCCTTCTCCCTCCTTCCATCACCCCGCCCCATTCTCCCTCCTTCCATCACCCCGCCCCATTCTCCCGCTTTCCATCAGCCCGCCCCATTTTCCCGCTTTCCATCACCCCAACCCATTCTTCCGCTTCCCATCATCCCATCCCATTCCCCCCCTTTCCATCACCCCTCCCCATTCTCCCTCCTTCCATCACCCCGCCCCATTCTCCCCCTTTCCATCACCCGCCACATTCTCCCGCTTTCCATCACCCCGCCCCATTCTTCTGCTTTCCATCACCCCGCCCCATTCTCCCGCTTTCCTTCACCCTGCCCCATTCACGTGGACGTGGACGTGGACGTGGACGTGGACATGGACATGGACGTGGACGTGGACGTGGATGTGGACATGGACGTGGACGTGGACGTGGACGTGGAAGTGGACGTGGACGTGGACATGGACGTGGACGTGGACGTGGACGTGGACCTGGACGTGGACGTGGACGTGGACGTGGACGTGGACGTGGACGTGGACGTGGACATGGACATGGACGTGGACGTGGACGTGGACGTGGACGTGAACATGGAAATGGTCGTGGACGTGGACGTGGACGTGGACGCGGACGTGGACGTGGACGTGGACGTGGACGTGGACGTGGACGTGGACGTGGACGGGGACGTGGACGTGGACGTGGACGTGGACGTGGACGTGGACGTGGACGTGGACGTGGACGTGGACGTGGACATGGACGTGGACATGGACGTGGACATGGACGTGGACGTGTACGTGGACATGGACGTGGGACGTGGACGTGGACATGGACATGGACGTGGACCGTGGACGTGGACATGGACGTGGACGTGGACGTGGACATGGACGTGGACATGGACGTGGACGTGGACGTGGACATGGACGTGGACGTGGACGTGGACATGGACGTGGACATGGACGTGGACGTGGACGTGGACATGGACGTGGACGTGGACGTGGACGTGGACGTGGACATGGACGTAGACATGGACGTGGACGTGGACGTGGGTGTGGACGTGGACATGGACGTGGACATGGAAATGGACGTGGACATGGACGTGGACATGGACGTGGACGTGGACGTGGACATGGACGTGGACGTGGACATGGACATGGACGTGGACATGGACGTGGACGTGGACGTGGACATGGACGTGGACATGGACGTGGACGTGGTCGTGGACATGGACGTGGACGTGGACATGGACGTGGACGTGGACATGGACATGGTCGTGGACATGGATATGGACGTGGACATGGACGTGGACGTGGACATGGACGTGGACATGGACATGGACGTGGACGTGGACGTGGACATGGACGTGGACATGGACGTGGACGTGGACGTGGACGTGGACATGGACATGGACGTGGACGTGGACCTGGACGTGGACGTGGACATGGACGTGGACGTGGACGTGGACATGGACGTGGACATGGACGTGGACGTGGACATGGACGTGGACGTGGACGTGGACGTGGACGTGGACGTGGACGTGGACATGGACGTGGACGTAGACGTGGACGTGGACGTGGACGTGGACGTGGACATGGACGTGGACGTGGACATGGACGTTGACATGGACGTAGACGTGGACGTGGACGTGGACATGGACATGGACGTGGACGTGGACGTGGACGTGGACATGGACGTGGACGTAGACGTGGACGTGGACGTGGACGTGGACGTGGACGTGGACGTGGACGTGGACATGGACGTGGACGTGGACGTGGACATGGACGTGGACATGGACGTGGACGTGGACGTGGACGTGGACATGGACATGGACGTGGACATGGACGTAGACGTGGACGGGGACATGTACGTGGGACGTGGACGTGGACGTGGACATGGACGTGGACGTGGACGTGGACGTAGAAACGGACCTGGACGTGGACGTGGACATGGACGTGGACGTGGACGTGGACGTGGACGTGGACATGGACGTGGACTTGGACGTGGACGTGGACGTGGACATGGACGTGGACGTGGACGTGGACGTGGAAATGGATGTGGACATGGACGTGGACGTGGACGTGGACGTGGACATGGACGTGGACGTGGACGTGGACATGGACGTGGACATGGACGTGGACGTGGACGTGGACATGGACGTAGACGTGGACGTGGACGTGGACGTGGACGTGGACGTGGACGTGGACATGGACGTGGACGTGGACGTGGACGTGGACATGGACGTAGACGTGGACGTGGACGTGGACGTGGACATGGACGTGGACGTGGACGTGGACGTGGACATGGACGTGGACGTAGACGTGGACGTGGACGTGGACGTGACGTGGACGTGGACGTGACTGGACGTGGACGTGGACGTGGACCATGGACGTGGACATGGACGTGGACGTGGACGTGGACGTGGACGTGGACATGGACATGGACGTGGACATGGACGTAGACGTGGACGGGGACATGGACGTGGACGTGGACGTGGACGTGGACGCGGACATGGACGTGGACGTGGACGTAGAAACGGACCTGGACGTGGACGTGGACATGGACGTGGACGTGGACGTGGACGTGGACGTGGACATGGACGTGGACTTGGACGTGGACGTGGACGTCGACATGGACGTGGACGTGGACGTGGACGTGGACATGGACGTGGACATGGACGTGGACGTGGACGTGGACGTGGACGTGGACATGGACGTGGACGTGGACATGGACGTGGACGTGGACGTGGACGTGGACGTGGACGTGGACATGGACGTGGACGTGGACGTGGACGTAGAAATGGACGTGGACGTGGACGTGGACATGAACGTGGACGTAGGACGTGGACGTGGACGTGGACGTGGACGTGGACATGGACGTGGACGTGGACGTGGACGTGGACGTGGACATGGAGGAAGACGTGGACGTGGACATGGACGTGGACGTGGACGTGGACGTGGACATGGAGGTGGACATGGAGGTGGACATGGAGGTGGACGTGGACGTGGACGTGGACGTGGACATGGACGTGGACGTGGACGTGGACGTGGACGTGGACCTGGACGTGGACGTGGACGTGGACATGGACGTAGACGTGGACGTGGACGTGGACGTGGACATGGACGTGGACGTGGACATGGACGTGGACGTGGACGTGGACGTGGACATGGACGTGGACGTGGACGTGGACGTGGACGTAGACGTGGACGTGGACGTGGACGTGGACGTGGACGTGGACGTGGACATGGACGTGGACCTGGACGTGGACGTGGACGTGGACGTAGACATGGACGTGGACGTGGACGAGGACGTGGACGTGGACGTAGACGTGGACGTGGACGTGGACGTGGACGTGGACGTGGACATGGACGTGGACGTGGACGTGGACGTGGACGTGGACGTAGACGTGGACATGGACGTGGACATGGACGTGGACGTGGACGTGGACGTGGACATGGACATGAACGTGGACATGGACGTGGACGTGGACCTGGACGTGGACATGGACGTGGACGTGGACGTGGACGTGGACGTGGACATGTACATGGACGTGGACGTGGACGTGGACGTAGAAACGGACCTGGACGTGGACGTGGACATGGACGTGGACGTGGACGTGGACGTGTACGTGGACGTGGACGTGGACATGGACGTGGACGTGGACGTGGACGTAGAAATGGACGTGGACGTGGACGTGGACATGGACGTGGACGTAGACGTGGACGTGGACGTGGACGTGGACGTGGACGTGGACGTGGACATGGACGTGGACGTGGACGTGGACGTGGACGTGGACATGGACGAAGACGTGGATGTGGACATGGACGTGGACGTGGACGTGGACGTGGACGTGGACATGGAGGTGGACATGGAGGTGGACATGGAGGTGGACGTGGACGTGGACGTGGACGTGGACGTGGACGTGGACGTGGACGTGGACATGGACGTAGACGTGGACGTGGACGTGGACGTGGACATGGACGTGGACGTGGACATGGACGTGGACGTGGACGTGGACGTGGACGTGGACATGGACCTGGACGTGGACGTGGACGTGGACGTAGACGTGGACCGTGGACGTGGACGTGGACGTGGACATGGACGTGGACCTGGATGTCGACGAGGACGTGGACGTGGACATGGACGGGACGTGGACGTGGACGTGGACGTGGACGTAGACGTGGACGTGGACGTGGACGTGGACGTGGACGTGGACATGGACGTGGACGTGGACGTGGACGTGGACGTGGACGTGGACGTGGACATGGACGTGGACATGGACGTGGACGTGGACGTGGACGTGTACGTGTACGTGGACGTGGACGTGGATGTGGACGTGGACGTGGACGTGGACGTGGTCGTAGACGTGGACGTGGACGTGGACTTGGACGTGGACATGGACGTGGACGTGGACGTGGACGTGGACGTGTACGTGGACATGAACGTGGACGTGGACGTGGACGTGGACGTGGATGTGGACATGGACGTGGACATGGTCATGGACGTGGACGTGGACGTGGACGTGGACGTGTACGTGGACATGAACGTGGACGTGGACGTGGACGTGGACGTGGACGTGGACGTGGACATGGACGTGGACATGGTCATGGACGTGGACGTGGACGTGTACGTGGACGTGGACGTGGACGTGTACGTGGACGTGTACGTGGACGTGGACGTGGAAGTGGACGTGGACGTGGACATGGACGTGGACGTGGACGTGGACGTGGACATGGACGTGGACTTGGACGTGGACATGGACGTGGACGTAGAAATGGACATGGACGTAGACGTGGACATGGACGTGGACGTAGACGTGGACGTGGACGTGGACGTGGACGTGGACGTGGACATGGAGGTGGACATGGAGGTGGACATGGAGGTGGACGTGGAGGTGGACGTGGACGTGGACGTGGACGTGGACATGGACGTGGACGTGGACACGGATGTGGACGTGGACGTGGACGTGGACGTGGACGTGTACGTGTACGTGGACGTGGACGTGGACGTGGACGTGGACGTGGACGTGGTCGTGGACGTGGACGTGGACGTGGACTTGGACGTGGACGTGGACGTGGACGTGGACGTGGACGTGTACGTGGACATGAACGTGGACGTGGACGTGTACGTGGACATGAACGTGGACGTGGACGTGGACGTGGACGTGGACGTGGACATGGACGTGGACATGGTCATGGACGTGGACGTGGACGTGGACGTGGACGAGGACGTGGACGTGGACGTGGACGTGACGTAGAAATGGACGTGGACGTGGACGTGGACGTGGACGTGGACGTGGACGTGGACATGGACGTGGACGAGGACGTGGACGAGGACGTGGACGTGGACGTGGACGTGGACGTGGACGTGGACATGGACGTGGACGTGGACATGGACGTGGACGTGGACGTGGACGTGGACGTGTACGTGTACGTGTACGTGGACGTGGACGTGGACGTGGACGTGGACGTGGACGTGGTCGTAGACGTGGACGTGGACGTGGACTTGGACGTGGACATGGACGTGGACGTGGACGTGGACGTGGACGTGTACGTGGACATGAACGTGGACGTGGACGTGACGTGGACGTGGACGTGGACATGGACGTGGACATGGTCATGGACGTGGACGTGGACGTGGACGTGGACGTGTACGTGGACATGAACGTGGACGTGGACGTGGACGTGGACGTGGACGTGGACATGGACGTGGACATGGTCATGGACGTGGACGTGGACGTGTACGTGGACGTGGACGTGGACGTGGACGTGGACGTGTACGTGGACGTGGACGTGGACGGAAGTGGACGTGGACGTGGACATGGACGTGGACGTGGACGTGGACGTGGACGTCGACATGGACGTGGACTTGGACGTGGACATGGACGTGGACGTAGAAATGGACATGGACGTAGACGTGGACATGGACGTGGACGTAGACGTGGACGTGGACGTGGACGTGGACGTGGACGTGGACATGGAGGTGGACATGGAGGTGGACATGGAGGTGGACGTGGAGGTGGACGAGGACGTGGACGTGGACGTGGACATGGACGTGGACGTGGACATGGACGTGGACGTGGACGTGGACGTGGACGTGGACGTGGACGTGTACGTGGACGTGGACGTGGACGTGGACGTGGACGTGGACGTGGTCGTGGACGTGGACGTGGACGTGGACTTGGACGTGGACGTGGACGTGGACGTGGACGTGGACGTGTACGTGGACATGAACGTGGACGTGGACGTGTACGTGGACATGAACGTGGACGGGACGTGGACGTGGACGTGGACGTGGACATGGACGTGGACGTGGGACATGGTCATGGACGGTGGACGTGGACGTGGACGTGGACGTGTACGTGGACATGAACGTGGACGTGGACCGTGGACGTGACGTGGACGTGGACATGGACGTGGACGTTGACATGGACGGGGACGTGGACGTGGACGTGGACGTGGACGTGGACATGGACGTGGACGTGGACGTGGACGTGGACATGGACGTGGACGTGGACGTGGACGTGGACGTGGACGTGGACGTGGACGTGGAACGTGGACGTGTACGTGACATGAACGTGGACGTGGACGTGTACTGGACTGAACGTGGACGTGGACGTGGACGTGAACGTGGAACGTGGACGTGGACGTGGACGTTGGACGTGGACATGGACGTGGACGTGGACGTGGACGTGGACGTGGACATGGACGTGGACGTGACGGGGAAATGGACGTGGACGTGGACCGTGGACGTGGACGTGGAAGTGACATGGACGTGGACGTGGACATGGACGTGGACTTGGGACCGTGGACGTGGCATGGACGTGGACGAGGGACGTGGACGTGCATGGACATGGACGTGGACGTGGACAGGGACGTGGACGTGGACATGGGACGTGGACGTGGACGTGGACGTGGACGTGGCATGGACGTGGACGTACGGACGTGGACGTGGACGTGGACGTGGACATGGAACGTAGGACGTGGACATGGACGTGGACGTGGACGTGGACGTGGACGTGGACATGGACGTGGACGTGGACATGGACGTGGACGTGGACGTGGACGTGGACGTGGACATGGACGTGGACGTGGACGTGGACGTGGACACGTGGACGTGGACGTGGACGTGGACGTGGACGTGGACGTGGACGTGGACGTGGACATGGACGTGGACGTGGACGTGGACGTGGACGTGGACATGGACGTGGACGTGGACAAGGACGTGGACGTGGACATGGACGTGGACGTGGACGTGGACGTGGACATGGACGTGGACGTGGACGTGGACATGGACGTGGACGTGGACGTGGACGTGGACGTGGACGTGCACGTGGACGTGGACGTGGACGTGGACGTGGACGTGGACGTGGACGTGGACGTGGACGTGGACGTGGACATGGACGTGGACATGGACGTGGACTGGACGTGGACGTGGACATGGACGTGGACGTGGACATGGACGTGGACGTGGACGTGGACGTGGACGTGGACGTGGACGTGGACGTGGACGTGGACATGGACGTGGACGTGGACGTGGACATGGACGTGGACGTGGACGTGGACGTGGACGTGGACGTGGACGGACGTGGACGTGGACGTGGACATGGACGTGGACGTGGACGTGGACGTGGACATGGACGTGGACGTGGACGTGGACATGGACGTGGACGTGGACGTGGACGTGGACGTGGACGTGGACGTGGACATGGACGTGGACGTGGACGTGGACGTGGACGTGGACGTGGACGTGGACGTGGACGTGGACGTGGACATGGACGTGGACGTGGACATGGACGTGGACGTGGACATGGACGTGGACGTGGACTGGACGTGGACGTGGACGTGGACGTGGACGTGGACATGGACGTGGACGTGGACGTGGACGTGGACGTGGACGTGGACATGGACGTGGACGTGGACGTGGACGTGGACGTGGACATGGACGTGGACGTGGACGTGGACGTGGACGTGGACGTGGACGTGGACGTGGACATGGACGTGGACGTGGACATGGACGTGGACGTGGACGTGGACGTGGACATGGACGTGGACGTGGACGTGGACATGGACGTGGACGTGGACGTGGACGTGGACGTGGACGTGGACGTGGACGTGGACGTGGACGTGGACGTGGACGTGGACGGGACGTGGACGTGACGTGGACGTGGACATGGACGTGGACATGGACGTGGACGTGGACGTGGACGTGGAAGTGGACGTGGACGTGGACGTGGACGTGGACGTGGGGGTGGGACGTGGACGTGGACGTGGACGTGGACATGGACGTGGACGTGGACGTGGACATGGACGTGGACGTGGAAATGGACATGGACGTGGACGTGGACATGGACGTGGACGTGGACGTGGACGTGGACGTGGACGTGGACGTGGACGTGGACAGGAGGTGGACATGGACGTGGACATGGACGTGGACGTGGACGTGGACGTGGACGTGGACGTGGACGTGGACATGGACGTGGACGTGGACATGGACGTGGACGTGGACGTGGACGTGGACGTGGACGTGGACGTGGACGTGGACGTGGACGTGGACGTGGACGTGGACGTGGCGTGGACGTGGACGTGGACGTGGACTTGGACGTGGACGTGGACGTGGACGTGGACGTGGACGTGTACGTGGACGTGAACGTGGACGTGGACGTGGACGTGGACATGACGTGGACGTGGACGTGGACGTGGACGTGGACGTGGACATGGACGTGGACATGGACATGGACGTGGACGTGGACGTGGACGTGGACGTGGACGTGGACGTGGACAGGAACGTGGACGTGGACGTGGACGTGGACGTGGACGTGGACGTGGACATGGACGTGGACGTGACTGGACGTGGACGTGGACGTGGACGTGGGGACGTGGACGTGGACATGGACGTGGACGTGGACGTGGACGTGGACATGGACGTGGACGTGGACGTGGACGTGGACGTGGACGTGGACGTGGACGTGGACGTGGACGTGGACGTGGACATGAACGTGGACGTGGACGTGGACGTGGACATGAACGTGGACGTGGACGTGGACGTGGACGTGGACGTGGACGTGGACGTGGACGTGGACGTGGACGTGGACATGGACGTGGACGTGGACGTGGACGTGGACGTGGACGTGGACGTGGACGTGGACGTGGACATGGACGTGGACGTGGACGTGGACGTGGACGTGGACGTGGACATGGACGTGGACGTGGACAGGACGTGGACGTGGACATGGACGTGGACGTGGACATGGACGTGGACGTGGACGTGGACGTCGACGTGGACATGGACGTGGACGTGGACGTGGACGTGGACGTGGACGTGGACATGGACGTGGACGTGGACGTGAGTGGACGTGGACGTGGACATGGACGTGGACGTGGACGTGGACGTGGACGTGGACATGGACGTGGACGTGGACAAGGACGTGGACGTGGACATGGACGTGGACGTGGACGTGGACGTGGACATGGACGTGGACGTGGACGTGGACATGGACGTGGACGTGGACGTGGACGTGGACGTGACGTGGACGTGGACGTGGACGTGGACGTGGACGTGGACGTGGACGTGGACGTGAGAGTGGACGTGGACATGGACGTGGACATGGACGTGGACGTGGACGTGGACGTGGACATGGACGTGGACGTGGACGTGGACGTGGACGTGGACGTGGACGGGACATGGACGTGGACATGGACGTGGACGTGGACGTGGACATGGACGTGGACGTGGACGTGGACATGGACGTGGACATGGACGTGGACGTGGACGTGGACGTGGACGGGGGTGGACGTGGACGTGGACGTGGACGTGGACGTGGACGTGGACGTGGACGTGGACGTGGACGTGGACGTGGACGTGGACGTGGACGTGGACATGGACGTGGACGTGGACGTGGAATGGACGTGGACGTGGACGTGGACATGGACATGGACGTGGACGTGGACGTGGACGTGGACGTGGACATGGACGTGGACGTGGACGTGGACGTGGACGTGGACGTGGACGTGGACATGGACGTGGACGTGGACGTGGACGTGGACATGGACGTGGACGTGGACATGGACATGGACGTGGACGTGGACGTGGACGTGGACGTGGACATGGACGTGGACATGGACGTGGACGTGGACGTGGACGTGGACGTGGACGTGAACATGGACGTGGACGTGGACGTGGACGTGGACATGGACGTGGACGTGGACGTGGACGTGGACGTGGACGTGGACATGGACGTGGACGTGGACATGGGGTGACGTGGACGTGGACGTGGACGTGGACATGGACGTGGACGTGGACGTGGACGTGGACGTGGACGTGGACGTGGACGTGGACGTGGACGTGGACATGGACGTGGACGTGGACGTGGACGTGGACGTGGACGTGGACGTGGACGTGGACGTGGACATGACGTGGACGTGGACGTGGACGTGGACGTGGACGTGGACATGGACGTGGACGTGGACGTGGACATGGACGTGGACGTGGACGTGGACATGGACGTGGACGTGGACGTGGACGTAGAAATGGACGTGGACGTGGACGTGGACGTGGACGTGGACGTGGACGTGGACATGGACGTGGACATGGACGTGGACATGGAGTGGACGTGGACGTGGACGTGGACGTGGACATGGACGTGGACATGGAGGTGGACGTGGACGTGGACGTGGACGTGGACGTGGACGTGGACGTGGACGTGGACGTGGACATGACGTGGACGTGGACATGGACGTGGACGTGGACGTGGACATGGACGTGGACGTGGACGTGGACGTGGACGTGGAACGTGGACGTGGACGTGGACATGGACGTGGACGTGGACGTGGACGTGGACGTGGACGTGGACGTGGACATGGACGTGGACGTGGACGTGGACCGTGGACGTGGACGTGGACGTGGACGTGGACGTGGACGTGGACGTGGACATGGACGTGGACGTGGACGTGGACGTGGACGTGGACGTGGACGTGGACGTGGACGGGACGTGGACGTGGACATGGACGTGGACTTGGACGTGGACGTGGACGTGGACGTGGACATGGACGTGGACGTGGACGTGGACGTGGACGTGGACATGGACGTGGACGTGGACGTGGACATGGACGTGGACGTGGACGTGGACTAGGACGTGGACGTGGACATGGACGTGGACGTGGACATGGACGTGGACGTGGACGTGGACGTGGACGTGGACGTGGACGTGGACGTGGACGTGGACGCATGGACGTGGACGTGGACGGGACGTGGACGTGGACGTGGACGTGGACGTGGACGTGGACGTGGACGTGGACGTGGACGTGGACGTGGACGTGGACGTGGACGTGGACGTGGACATGGACGTGGACGTGGACGTGGACGTGGACGTGGACGTGGACGTGGACGTGGACGTGGACATGGACGTGGACTTGGACGTGGACGTGGACGTGGACGTGGACGTGGACGTGGACGTGGACGTGGACGTGGACGTGGACGTGGACATGGACGTGGACGTGGACGTGGACATGGACGTGGACGTGGACGTGGACATAGACGTGGACGTGGACATGGACGTGGACGTGGACATGGACGTGGACGTGGACGTGGACGTGGACGTGGACGTGGACGTGGACGTGGACGTGGACGTGGACGTGGACGTGGACATAGACGTGGACGTGGACGTGGACGTGGACGTGGACGTGGACGTGGACGTGGACATGGACGTGGACGTGGACATGGACGTGGACGTGGACGTGGACGTGGACGTGACATGGACGTGGACGTGGACGTGGACGTGGACGTGGACGTGGACGTGGACGTGGACGTGGACGTGGACGTGGACGTGACGTGGACGTGGACGTGGACATGGACGTGGACGTGGACGTGGACATGGACGTGGACGTGGACGTGGACGTGGACGTGGACATGGACGTGGACATGGACGTGGACGTGGACGTGGACGTGGACGTGGACGTGGACATGGACGTGGACGTGGACGTGGACGTGGACGTGGACGTGGACGTGGACGTGGACGTGGACGTGGACGTAGACGTGGACGTGACGTGGACGTGGACATGGACGTGGACGTGGACATGGACGTGGACTGGACGTGGACGTGGACATGGACGTGGACGTGGACGTGGACGTGGACGTGGACGTGGACGTGGACGTGGACGTGGACGTGGACATGGACGTGGACAGACGTGGACATGGACGTGGACATGGACGTGGACGTAGACGTGGACGTGGACGTGGACGTGGACATGGACGTGGACGTGGACGTGGACGTGGACGTGGACATGGCGTGGACGTGGACGTAGAAATGGACGTGGACGTAGACGTGGACATGGACATGGACGTGGACGTGGACGTGGACGTGGACGTGGACATGGACGGGGACATGGACATGGACGTGGACGTGGACGTGGACGTGGACATGGACCTGGACGTGGACGTGGACGGTGGACGTGGACGTGGACATGGACGTAGACGTGGACATGGACATGGACGTAGGACGTGGACGTGGACGTGGACGTGGACATGGACGTGGACATGGACGTGGACGTGGACGTGGACGTGGACGTGGAAGTAGAAATGGACGTGGACGTAGACGTGGACATGGACATGGACGTGGACGTGGACGTGGACGTGGACGTGGACGTGGACATGGACGTGGACGTGGACATGGACGTGGACGTGGGACGTGGACGTGGACATGACGTGGACGTGGACGTGGACGTGGACGTGGACGTGGACGTGGACGAGGACGTGGACGTAGACATGGACGTGGACATGGACGTGGACTTGGACGTGGACGTGGACGTCATCGTGGACGTGGACGTGGACATGGACGTGGACGTGGACGTGGACGTGGACGTAGAAATGGACGTGGACGTGGACGTGGACATGGACGTGGACGTGGACGTGGACGTGGACGTGGACGTGGACATGGACGTGGACGTGGACGTGGACGTGGACGTGGACGTGGACGTGGACGTGGACGTGGACATGGACGTGGACGTGGACGTGGACGTGGACGTGGACATGGACGTGGACGTGGACGTGGACATGGACGTGGACGTGGACATGGACGTGGACGTGGACGTGGACGTGGACATGGACGTGGACGTGGACGTGGACATGGACGTGGACATGGACATGGACGTGGACATGGACGTGGACGTGGACGTGGACGTAGACGTGGACGTGGACGTGGACGTGGACGTGGACATGGACGTGGACATGGACGTGGACATGGACGTGGACGTGGACGTGGACGTGGACGTGGACATGGACGTGGACGTGGACGTGGACGTGGACGTGGACGTGGACGTAGACGTGGACGTGGACATGGACGTGGACGTGGACGTGGACGTGGACGTGGACGTGGACGTAGACATGGACGTGGACATGGACGTGGACTTGGACGTGGACGTGGACGTGGACGTGGACGTGGACTGGACGGGACGTGGACGTGGACGTGGACATGGACGTGGACATGGACGTGGACTTGGACGTGGACGTGGACGTGGACGTGGACGTGGACGTGGACGTAGAAATGGACGTGGACGTGGACGTGGACATGGACGTGGACGTGGACGGGACGTGGACGTGGACATGGAAGTGGACGTGGACGAGGACCGTGGACGTGGACGTGGACGTGGACATGGACGTGGACGTGGACGTGGACATGGACGTGGACGTGGACGTGGACGTGGACGTGGACGTGGACGTGGACGTGGACGTGGACGTGGACATGGACGGGGACGTGGACGTGGACGTGGACATGGACGTGGACATGGACGTGGACTTGGACGTGGACGTGGACGTGGACGTGGACGTGGACGTGGACGTGGACGTGGAAATGGACGTGGACGTGGACGTGGACATGGACGTGGACGTGGACGTGGACGTGGACGTGGACATGGACGTGGACGTGGACGAGGACGTGGACTGGACGTGGACGTGGACGTGGACATGGACGTGGACGTGGGACGTGGACGTGGACGTGGACGTGGACGTGGACGTGGACGTGGACGTGGACATGGACGTGGACGTGGACATGGACGTGGACGTGGACATGGACGTGGACGTGGACGTGGACATGGTGGACATGGACGTGGACGTGGACGTGGACGTGGACCGTGGACGTGGACATGGACGTGGACATGGACGTGGACGTGGACGTGGACGTGGACATGGACGTGGACGTGGACAGGACGTGGACATGGACATGGACGTGGACGTGGACGTGGACGTGGACGTGGACGTGGACGTGGACGTGGACATGGACGTGGACGTGGACGTGGACGTGGACATGGACGTGGACATGGACGTGGACTGGACGTGGACGTGGACATGGACGTGGACGTGGACATGGACGTGGACGTGGACGTGGACGTGGACATGGACGTGGACGTGGACGTGGACGTGGACATGGACGTGGACGTGGACGTGGACATGGACGTGGACGTGGACGTGGACGTGGACGTAGACGTGGACGTGGACGTGGACATAGACGTGGACGTTGACGTGGACGTGGACATGGACATGACGTAGACGTGGATGTGGACGTGGACGTGGACATGGACGTGGACGTGGACATGGACGTGGACGTGGACATGGACGTGGACGTGGACGTGGGGTGGACGTGGACGTGGACATGGACGTAGACGTGGACGTGGACGTGGACGTGGACATCGACATGGACGTGGAAATGGACGTGGACATGGACATGGACGTGGACATGGACATGGACGTGGACGTGGACGTGGACGTGGACGTGGACGTGGACATGGACGTGGACATGGACGTGGACATGGACGTGGACGTGGACATGGACGTGGACGTGGACAGGACGTGGACGTAGACATGGACGTGGACGTGGACGTGGACGTGGACGTGGACGTGGACGTGGCCGTAGAAATGGACGTGGACGTGGTGGACGTAGAGAAATGGACGTGGACGTGGACGTGGACATGGACGTGGACGAGGACGTGGACGTGGACGTGGACGAGGACGTGGACGTGGACGTGGACGTGGACGAGGACGTGGACGTGGACGTGGACGTGGACGTGGACATGGACGTGGACGTGGACGGTGGACATGGACGTGGACATGGACGTGGACATGGACGTGGACATGGACGTGGACGTGGACGTGGACGTGGACATGGACGTGGACGTGGACGTGGACGTGGACATGGACGTGGACGTGGACGTGGACATGGACGTGGACGTGGACGTGGACGTGGACGTGGACGTGGACATGGACGTGGACGTGGACGTGGACGTGGACGTGGACATGGACGTGGACTTGGACGTGGACGTGGACATGGACGTGGACGTGGACATGGACGTGGACGTGGACGTGGACATGGACGTGGACGTGGACGTGGACGTGGACGTGGACGTGGACGTGGACG